AATAACTCTGTAATTACTTTAGATAGAGTTATGGTTCTTGTGCAATGCACTTCCCCTTATTGTGTTTGACAATTGTATGAAGTTGTTTTTAATTCCAACCAGTAGTTTTCAAGCTATGCCCCGGACAAGGAAAAGTAACAAAGGGCAATAACTCTGTAATTAGTCAAGATAGAGTTATGGTTCTTATACACTGCACTTCCTTTCAATGTGCTTAACCATTGTATGTAGTTATATTGAATTCCAACCATTAGTCTTCAAGTTATGGTCCGGATAAAAAAATCAATGGAAAAGTAACAAAGGGCAATAACTCTGTAATTACTTTGGATAGAGTTATGGTTCTTGTGCACTGCACTTTCCCTTATTGTGTTTGACAATTGTATGAAGTTGTTTTGAATTCCAACCAGTTGTTTTCAAGTTATGCCCCGGACAAGGAAAAGTAACAAAGGGCAATAACTCTGTAATAAGTCAAGATAGAGTTATAGTTCTTATGCACTGCACTTCCTCTCAATGTGCTTGACCATTGTATGAAGTTATAATTGAATTCAAACTATTAGTCTTCAAGTTATGGTTCCAGACAAAAAAAAGCAATGGAAAAACAACAAAGGGCAATAACTCTGTAATTACTTTAGATAGGGTTATGGTTCTTGTGCACTGCACTTCCCCTTATTGTGTTTGACAATTGTATGAAGTTGTTTTGAATTCCAACCAGTAGTTTTCAAGTTATGTCCCGGACAAGGAAAAGTAACAAAAGGCAATAACTCTGTAATTAGTCAAGATAGAGTTATGGTTCTTGTGCACTGCACTTCCTCTCAATGTGCTTGACCATTGTATGTAGTTATATTGAATTCAAACTATTAGTCTTCAAGTTATGGTCCAGACAAAGAAAAAAGCAATGGAAAAGCAACAAAGAGCAATAACTCTGTAATTACTTTAGATAGAGTTATGGTTCTTGTGCACTGCACTTCCCCTTATTGTATTGACAATTGTATGAAGTTGTTTTGAATTCCAACCAGTAATTTTCAAGTTATGCCCCGGACAAGGAAAAGTGACAAAGGGCAATAACTCTGTAATTAGTCAAGATAGAGTTATGGTTCTTGTGCACTGCACTTCCTCTCAATGTGCTTGACCATTGTATGTAGTTATATTGAATTCCAACCATTAGTCTTCAAGTTATGCTCCAGACAAGGAAAATGCAACGGACCGTCTGGAACCGACCGACCCACCGACCACACCGGTGACTCCTATACCCCCCCCCCCCCCAACTTCGCTTTTAGGGTATAATTATGTGTTATAAAAACATGAAAAAAGGGAAATAAATCTCACAAAAGTGCGGCTGCACAAAATACCCAAATACACCCAAATAAAGCAATATTTATTTTTGTTTGTATAAAATATAGATTATAATGAGAAATAAATAAATATTTATAAAATAATATGACTTAGCCTGCTATAACTTTCATTCATTCCGTTGAAATGGGCAGTTAAGATGTTGTAAGAAAATAAAGTTGTGACATTTGCTTATCTACTATATAGGTTATTTATGAATATAATCAAGATATGATATTTGTTGTCTACACTTACATTTTTAAGGTGTAATTATGTTGAAATTTCATATCATATACAAGTGTCCATGATATTTTTTTTTAAATTAATAGCTTTAATGGGGTACATCACAGATTTATATTACATATACTGTATTTTGGTTCAAAACACAATGATAGGAAAATGTTTTCTTGCTGATCAGACTGGCATTTCCGTGAGTTTTACCCATGCCGGAAATTTCATCTGGCATGGGGGGTGCCAGATGAGTCGCGTGCTGCACAATGCCACGCTTAGGATGACGTCATTTTACCGTTATGAATAAAGTTGTAATTCATACGCTGTTGTAAAAAAGTAGTTACGGTTGTTATGATATAAATTAATATTAATTTCCATTGAAATGAAAGATAAAGAATTTAAAATAGAATGGAATATAGTAGAATATGCAAGAAAAAATATCTGACATATTGTTGCGGTTCTGATAGGAATATCCGTCCCTCGGTCACCCACCCATAGGTGGGTCACCTCGGGACGGATATTCCTATCCGAACCGCAAAATATGACAGATATTATTATAATTATATCTTAGTGAAAGTGTATACTGTATTCATGATTAAAACAGCACTTTTTTTAGCATAAAACATTTATTTCTAGTATAATTGGGCAATATTTGTGTATATTTAGGCAATATTTGGGCAATATTTGGGTATATTTGGGTGTATTTGGGTATTTCGTGCTGCCCCAAAAGTGATAGTAGCAAAATATTTTTCTTTCTGTTAATGTCAAATATTATTCTCAATAAACAAACAAAGTTTAAAAGAAATATCTTTATCTATTTTCTAGAAATATGATTTTTTTTATGACATAAGCTCGATCGGGCATTTTCACCAGCCTGATGAATACGATTCCAAGCCGTCAGCTTTCTAAATTGCCTGTGTACTGGTTGGGGACCACCAAAACCGGACAACCACCACCCGGACAGCCCCGAAAGTGCAAACTAGTCAAATCGGCCCCAAGTCAAATCGGCCCAAAAATTAGTCAAATCTGCCACACAACAATTTTAAAAAGTCATATCGGCCCCAAAACTAGTCAAATCGGCCCCGAAACTAGTCAAATGGGCCTTAAACTTATTTGTTGGTTATTGAAATTGATGGATAATTGTATAGGCTCTGGAAGTGATGTGTGGAAAAGGTAGGAGGCAGTCACTTGTGATGCAGGGTTCGTACAGACATCCAATGCCAAAATTCAAGGACTTTTTTAGCACTATTTAAGCACGTTTTCCCATTTTTCAAGCATATTTGTTTCACATATACCGACACAATCTTCAACCTATGATGGATAGTTTGTTCACCATTTTTTGTTAAATACACATTTTCTAAAATTATAGAAGAACAACTAAGGGCGCATCAAGTACAGATTAGTTCAAAACAACTGCAATTTGTCCACTTACTGTTACCTTGAGTAAATATTTCATTGATTTTGATACTAAATTGGATCTTTTTTTTATTTTGTTAACTGTTGATTTTTATCAAAACTATGTCATTCTGTGATTCAAACATTTTCAAGCACATTTTTAGCAAATTTAAGCACTTTTTAAGCACTTTGCAAGAGAGTAATCAAATTCAAGGACTTTTAAGCACTATTTTACATTTTTAAGCACTTTTTAAGAAAGAGACTCAAATTTAAGCACTTTTTAAGACTGTACGAACCCTGTGATGCTTGTGACAGATGACAACATAGGAAGTGTAATATTGGTGAGTTACTTTAATTGACAAAACTTATCAGGAGTAATAATATTGCCATTACATTTGAAAATATTTCATCATGACTAGCATGTTTAAATACTTAAAAATAATGGTGAATTAATTGCCATAGTAAAATAAATAAAAACATTTTTATTTCTATATTCAATTTTTTTAAAGATTAGTTTTTAATTTAAATTATAGTTAATTAATTTGTTTGTTTATTTCATTTTACGAATTTTCCCAACAGTATTTCAGTCATATAAGCGGAGTTAATTAATAAAAATAAATAGATTAATGAAAATAAATAGAGATGCAATGCTGCTGGATTAACGAATGTGTGATGCAATTAACGGTACATATGTAATTAAGTGTGAACAACGTGCTTCCTGATTAAACGTTACAGTGTTCAAACCTAATTTGATTTGTCGCACATGAGTGGATATAGAGCACGCAGATAATATAGATATGTAACATATATGAATGCAAAATTTGAGATTTAATGGATGACCATCATATTGAATTTATCATAAAATGATTTCTTGGTGCATGCATTATCATAAATATACATGTATATGGATGTTGTGATGATGGGTGTTAAGCCCCAGTCAGAAATAAAGTATATGTTCTGTTCTTTTATGATTATTTTGTCCGAAAAAAAATACGTATTTATAGTGATATCCATCCAATTAAAGAGTGAGACGTTTAATCAGGTAGCATGTTGTTCATACTTGATTGCTTTAAATCAGCTGTTTATTAGTTACACGTGTCCGACACACCTGGATATATTTTTTATCAATCTAAATAAAAAAACATGAACAAATTGACTCTTAAACATTTAACTGTAGTTTATTAATGGATAACATATTTTTATACATATTCTTGTAAGATACTACAAACGTTTTCTTTCATAAAAAATATGGGGACATTAAAAACATAATGATGATACTAAAGAACAGAAAAATAAGGCGACATTAAATATTGATCAATATATTTTTACAAGTAATTATTAATAACCTGATGAAGGGTATATCTTACCCGAAACCGGTAGTGATATTAAACATATAAACCGACCTGGTGTTTTTGATGTGATGTTCCCCCCTCCCAATCTTTTAACCTAAAGTAATTATTAAGTTTAAAGATGATAATATCTATGAAAAGTAACGATAATTTTTTTACATTCCAGGTCATATGTTGACAAGCCGCCATCAGCATCACCAATGCCAGATATGCAACGAAAGACTTACCGATCTATTTTTGTGTGTAATACTTAAGTGACATAAAGACCATTTCTTTCAGGGATACGGACGGACAAAAGCCCCCCCCCCCCCCGGACGAAAGCACCCCCATCTAAAAATGACAAGGTGGACAAAAGCCCCCCATGAAATTTACACATAGGACAAAAGCCCCCCCCCCCGCCCATCAAAAATACAGGTAGGGCAAAAATTTCATCATTCACTCATGACATGGGCGTCTTCATTTAATATGCATCAGCTACTGTATCATTATTTCAAACAGTCAACTTTATATAAACATTCGAAAGATACGTATCCTCCAGATCCACATAACCGAGATAACCAAAATTCAGCATATCCGAAAATCTGTATATCCGAAAACACATTATATTGACTGCTTATGTTTCCTGTCAAGATAGAATTCCTAAATACCTAAATATATTCTTATAGACACTGAGAAAAATAAAATTTCAAAATGTCATACCTAAGAGACGAGTATATTTTTGTAACGCTTGCATTTTCTGTATTTCATGCGACCTTTGCAGCCTCAAGTTTTGGACGTACGTCAAGGCGGACCGTGGGACAGGACGGACCGTATCAGGGGGACCGTAATAAACTATGTTTTGACGGGGCGAACCATATTTTGGGACAAGGCGGACCGTGACTCGAGACGAGGCGGACCATGTATATTTTCAAATTAAATATAGCTATTTAATTTTCTATATATATTTCGGCATAATTATCATCCTAAACACGTCGTATATAAAGGTCATATGATGGATAAGCAATCCAGCGGTTGCTGGTAGGCCTCAACCACTAACAATATTAATTAATGGGTCTTTTGGACAAAGTCATAAACAAGAGGCCCATGATGGCCCTGAAATCGCTCACCTGTATATAGACACTTGGGGCAGGGCTCGATCATTTTAACCCAGGGGCTTTTTTGAACCAACTTGTTAGACACCCATTAGACGATGTTTCATGATAAATATCTAAGCTCTAGCTCTTTGGGGTTCTTTAAAAGAAGATTAATTAAGTTTTTACTATAGACATAAAAGGAAAATCAGACCCCCGGGGTGGGGCCATTTTAACCCTGGGGCTTTTATTTGAACAAATTTGGTAGACACTCGCTAGAAGATGTTTTATAATTAATATCTAAGCTTTATCTCTATGGGTTATCTAAAAGAAGATTTTTTAAGTTTTTACTATAGACATATAAGGAAAATCAGTACTCCCCGAGTGGGGTCAATTTTGATCCTAGGGCTTTAATTTGAACAAACTTGGTAGACACTCACCAGAAGATGTTTCATGCATAATATCTAAGCTCTAACTCTTTGGGTTTTAAAAAAGAAGATTTTTTAAGTTTTTACTATATACATATAAGGAAAGTCAATGACCCTCTGGGGTGGGGTTAATATTGACCCCATGGCTTTTATTTGAACTAACTTGATAGACACTCACTAGAAGATGGTTCATGCCAAATATTTCTCTAGCTCTTTCGGTTTTTTAAAAGAAGATTTTTTTAGTTTTTACTATAAACATATGAGGAAAATCAATGACCCCCCTGGGCGGAGCCAATTTTGACCCCAGGGCTTTTATTTGAACAAACTTGGTAGACACTCATCAGACAATGTTTCATGCCAAATATCTAAGCTCTAGCTCTTTTGTTTTAAAAAGAAGATTTTTTAAGTTTTTACTGTATGTATACAGTATAAGGAAAATCAATGAGCCTCCTGAGGCCGGGCCAATTTTGACCCCAGGGGTTTTGTTTGAACAAACTTGATAGACACTCACTAGAAGATGTTTCATGCCAAATATCTAAGCTCTACCTTTTTGGGTTTTTTTAAAAGAAGATATTTTAAGTTTTTTCTTTCGGTTGCCATGGCAACCAGAGTTCTATGGAATTAAATTCTTTGAACAATATTTAAAGGTGACCACCAAAGGACCATTCCTGTGAAGTTTGGATAAAATTGGTTTAGCGGTTTATGAGGAGATGTTGTTTAAAGTTTATGGACGACGGACGGACAGACGCCAGATGAAAAGTGATCACAAAATCGCGCCATGTCACTTTGTGACAGGTGAGCTAAAAAAGAGCTGTCGGTAGGACAGCAACGCTCGACTATTCTTAGTGCTTGATAGTAAAAAAAATGCCTGATACAGTTACCTCCTCCTGTTTACAGGTTGGGGTCATGATGTTGAACAAGTGTGCAAAGTTTCAAAGCCATATGTCAATGGACTTTGAAAATATTTGAACTATTACAAAAACTTTAACGTAAATTCTAAGTCGAAAAAGGGGCATAATTCTGTCAAAATGCTTGATAGAGTTACCTCCTCCTGTCTACAGGTTGGGGTCATGATGGTGAACAAGTGTGCAAAGTTTCAAAGCCATATGTCAATGGACTTTGAAAATATTTGAACTATTACAAAAACTTTAACATAAGTGGTTACGCCGACGTCGACGCCGACGCTCGGGTGACTGCAATAGCTCTACTTATTCTTATCGAATAGTCGAGCTAAAAAGAGTTCCCATGTATAAGTGCTGTATGCAGAACATGTAACCAGGGACACCTCAGGACAGGGAAATCTGCTGTAAGCACTACCTGGAAAATAAAGTTATAGGTGTTGCAGATGCAAATGCAAAGTAAATACAATGACAGGAAAAACATTTTTGAAGGTCCTGACATCATCACAGTTCAATAAAAAGCTATGAAAATTCTCCTTTTATTATTGTATTATGGTAGTTTTTGATGGTTACTTTTTATCAACATAAACCATTCACTATAGGAAATGCTAGGTCCAAAAGGTAAATGTTATTGATAATAATTGTTTAAATATCTATTATCAAGATTATGTAACTTCCTTGTTGTTCTAAGATTAAAAATCTAGTCTATAAAATTAAAATTTACAAAGGCCACAAAGCTTTGATAATTGGGAAAGTATTTGAAGGTTTTGTGTAAAACAGTTTAATGTGCTACTTTATTACCCTCGAGTTACAACTGCATATACGGCTGCTTGCCCCTCACTGAGGATCAATTCACGTAAGGAAGCTTTAAAGCTAGCTTAAGTAATGTTGGTCGTTCTACTCAGGGGCCAGAAATAATACAGAGAAGGGCACCTAAGGTGTTCCTCCACCAGTCACCATACTACCTGTACTATGTTAGTGTGAAGTAACCCCCTCTCCCTCCTCAAACTTCCTTTGTCAATTAAACTAGCATTTAATTGGTTATGGATTATTGCTGGCCTTTCTAATGACTTGCATCTGCCACCAAATATAGAGCTAGGCTAACCTGAACATCAATACAGGTTGACAACAGATTTACACTGACAAATATTGAACTTTACTATCTATATCAAAATATCTTTTATTAACAAATTATTGATTGCTCCAATTTCAAAGCAGGGCAAATTCATTGTAAAAATTCAGGGGTGTAAGGGTTAAAACTAATTTTGAAAAATATTATCTGATAATGTCTCATATCTGAATATCAATATCAATCCCCTTCAGTCTTGATTCAAATTTAATTACTTCCTAATTGATTTATAATTAAATTTAGGGAAAGATGTTGCCTCAAAAATTGTTTGAACATTTTGGATTACATCTCTTTAAACATAATGGCTGAATGTGTTCCTGGTAGAAGTTTATCTGATAACATTAAATCAGGAAAAATGTGTGATGATTCTAGAAAATTGAAGACCTATCAGCAACTGCATGATAGTGATATGCTGAAGATAAATGATTCAAAATGTTGGTGTGAAGTTTGTCCAAAGCACGAAGGTGAGGTAATGAGATTTTATTGTAAAACACATGACACTATTGCCTGCACCTTTTGTGTAGTTCAAGAACATAGACAGTGTGACAATATATGCACTTTGGCTGAAATTGTGAATGTGGCAGAATGTTCTGATAAATACAAAGTTCTATGTGATGCCATTGAAGATTTGAAGCTAGATCTTTCTGATCAGATTGAAGGTATCAATGAATCTAAGAGAATTGTTATCCTTGATAGAGAAAAGGCAGTCAGTAAAATTGATGAATTTCAGATAAAAATACTGCAGAAACTTCAACTGCTTCGACTTCAAGTAGAAAAAGAAGCCAAAGAAATAGAAAGAAAAGAAACAGTCAAGTTAAATGAAGTTCTTACAACAGCAAATAAAGTAATGGAACTTGTTGAAGACTTGGACAAAGAGATGAAAGATCATGAAGAAATGAACCAATGTCAACATCAGTTTATTGCTGTGAAGAAAGCAGAAGAAGAACTTGGGGATTTGAAGAAAATGTCAAAAAACTTGAAAACAAGAAACAAACTGGAAAGATTCAGTTTTGTTGAAAATGATGTTTTGTCAAAAATGATACAAAAGGTTGAAAAGTTTGGAGAACTTCAAACTTGTAATGCTGACAAATCAAATCAAAGGTTGCAAAGTCTTTTGGTACATTTATATAGATAGAGAGAAAGTCTTTGACATTTGAACATGTAGTGATTGATTGGTAAAAACAATAATATTCATGCAGTTATTTATTTTGTGCTTTACAATATTTGAGTTTTATGAGTGAATTAAAATCCATATCACTCACAATATGTCAGCAAACTGAGCAAAAAACATATATCGACATAAACCTCAATTTCAATGCAATATCGACCTGGATTTCGCTTTTCTGATCAAGTAGGGCAAAGTGGAAATATTTTTCATGAAATTTTCGCCCGACTTCGCCCCAAACGCAGTCCCTGATATGTTTTATATCAATTAAAATACAATAATCAACAAATACACTTTCTAAAATTTCAATTCAACTTGTTATTTTTGCAAGATTAAAAGGCAGATATAAAATTCTCAAAGGAACACGCTGGTAACAATTAGGTTTGTCCAGCTGTACAAGTGTTATTTTAAATTGTAATGAAAATGTTCAACATCATGCAAACTTTTCTGATGTAGAAAGAACTCGAGTCCTATGTGAAGTATTAAAGTCACTTGTGGGGAAAAGAACCATTCAACTATTTTCATTTCTTTTCATAATTTAATTCATTATGTTTATTGCATATACAGTGATCACAAAAATGAATCAATGATATGATGTAAAATTAAAATCAAGAAAAATAATATACATGACAAATTCATAGCAAAGTTATATGTACAATTAACATTTCAGAGGTACTTTGTTTTTTTCTTCCAAATTGACATTTTCTGATATAAAATTGGTTGTATGTTGTATGGCTCACACAGTCTTTAATTTACTTACAATTTTTTTTTTATTTTTTATTTTTTTTTTACATTTATCAAATGAAATAATGTTATCAATGAAAATGTATTAGATAATACATGCTAACTCTTTGCGACTATTGTCTGATAAGATAAATTGTTTAATATGTGACATTAAATGTACTGTAAAAATCCAAAAATGTTCATTCTGTTCACTTCTATGCTGTATAATGCATAGATAACTTGTGGAAATTTTAGATGTCTTAACTTTTTAAACAAATTCTATGCAAAAAGCAGGAACATTTTTTATACCAATATACTTTTTAATCCTAATTACATGTAAACAAATTCTATGCAAAAAGCAGGAACTTTTTTATATACTTCTTAATCCTAATTACATGTATACTTAATTTCTACAAGTAGATTTGTCTCACTCTGAACTTGGTAGCATCCATTGGAAATGTTATGAGTTTTGAGGTCAAAATACTAAACTTTCAGTGAGCAAGAAACTTTACACTCATTGCCAAGTACTGGTTGGTTCCAGAAACGGATTTGACCGTTTTTTCAATACGCTTATAGCTTCCAACAAAATCAAACTAAAATAAATTGTTATAAACTAAACTTTAACAGCCAAAGGTATTATTTTGTAAAAAACCCTTGTATTATATGTTTGTATATATATATACTCACAGGCATTTGCCTTTTGTTCAATAAAATTATTAAAAAAAATACAGAATCTAGTTGACAATCACATACTGGGAAGTTTAAGTAAGCCTGTCGGCAATGGGAAGTTATCAAAGATTTTAAATCATTAAACATTGGAACATAATCAATGTAAACTTTATTGCTATTTGGGATATTGACTTGAATAGTCCCAACATAAAGGATTATAAACTGAATTGATAACTATTCATTTCTAGTAATAATGTAATGATCCGGGAGCCACTCTCGCCTTCTTTTGACATTTTTGAAATATAACTTGGGAGCATGTTTCTCCACTGTCTGTCCTTCCCCACTTACATAACTTCCATACTTGGGACAGTATCTTTGTCATTATTTGAAACAAATTATTTTAAAATCATTCAATGCATGACAAAGTTACTGTCCAAGCATGAAAGTTGTGTAAGTGACTGAAGGACAGATGGTGCAATTTTAATATGCCACTGGACCTTTCGGGGGCAAAAAAATACCAATGCGGTGGTAAGGTCTGTAATCCTTAAATGAATGTACTATCTACTTTCTATTGTTAACACATAATGTTGAATTATATTTACTCCAATTTGTGTGTACCAGTAGCTTTAAGCTACAAAATCATCACAATATATACATAAGAATAATGAAAGTTAAATGTGATAAGTCATGTCATATACATAATAAGAAAGTAGAAACCACTTCCAAACATACATATATAGTATAATAAATACATTTACATCAACAAAGCATTAAAATAAGATGTATTGTAATACAATTGCATAACAAATATAACACGTTAATATATATTTATTATATTTATTTGGTCACTATACAAGTCACACTGGCACTGCTGTGGTCAGTTGAAAAGTTTCAAGCTTTATTAACAGTGGCAGGAGAGACCCCGGTGCCCCTGAGTGCATTATTTCAGGTAAATCTAAGCACCTGGGTGCAAGTATGTGCCTTTTGTTAACTATCTGCATTGATTTCTTACAAAGAAACATGTGAAGGGTGACAAATTGATTGTGAATCAGCACTTTTTAACCATTTTGATATATTAATAAAGATGATGAAAGTATCAAGAAAAAAACAACATTTTTATTAAAAAAAAAACATCAATTCAATACATTATACTCTAATAGAACAATATTTCTGATGGAAACATAAAGGTTATTAGTCTATATATTATCTTACAAAAATAAACTTTATACATATTACTCCCAAACACATATTTTTCTTTACTCATCATTGCACAACTCACGCCCAATACACAATGGGCGTCAATTTGATGTCACCTTGATTACAGCAGAAAACCTACTCAATTGTTTTTTTTGGGTTTTGTTTTTTGTTGTTTTTAATTAAAGATTATTGATATAATAGAAATGATATAATACTAACATACATCCTATCAATAACATATATATATGCTAATCATTTCAAATGAAAACAAAATACTTCAGCTACAGATAAGGAAATTTAAAGTCTGTTTTGCATGTAAGATCAAAGTTTATTTCTCAGAAGAGTCAGGCCCCAATATTTTTCATGAGTGGCATAGCCACAAGTAAAAATACAACAGTTGGTACAAATGTATTCACAAGTGAAACATAAATAAAGAGATTCTTAATTCTTAAAATCTTTGCAACAAAAATAAGCTTATGTCATTTTTTTTATACAACACCATTTAGATTGCAAACATCAAAATAGCATAAACTTTAATAATCAAAGCGGAAAAATGGCTTCCTTTTTGAAGATAACCATAAGTTATAAGCATGACCTTCATTTATGAAGAAGGACATCAATTTCCAAAATGGTCGCCATTTACGAGATGATTTGCATTTATGGAGGTGGTGGATGTAGCAGTCTTTCACAATACTGAGACAGAGTATCGTCTAGCTGTGATAGTCATCCCTTAGGAGTTTCTATAGTTCCTTTAGCAATGTCGGTCATCTTTGGGTATTTTATCTTCTTTTTGTCCAATTCTTCTTGTGACCATAGTAACAGTTTTAATAAATTGGCCAACTTTGGTGTGGACTCTGTTTCCAAAATTGCAGCATTCAATTCACTAGCAACCTGTAATTAATCAGTTAATTGAATGAAAAAAGTATCAAAACTTTAAGAGGTTTATGGTGGTTATAAACTATGCTCATCTTTGGGTAAAATTCTTGTATTACAGAAATTTATTGAAATCTAGTAAATTCTCCCTAAATATGTCTAATTTGAATAAGTGAATGTATAAACTATAGTTGGGAAGCTGCATTCCCTATTATTTGTCAAATTAATTTGGTCTACTATTATAAAAACTGCCAGTTTTTTTTCTTCAAATGACACTATGTAATCATACTGCGATTACCTGTAGAATGTGGAGTTTAAAACATGTCTTCTCTGTGTGAATTCAAAAGATATTTATTTTACATATCAAAAGAGACTTTATTTTAATTATCTGTAGCAGGGTTGTCATTAAAATTTTCCTGAGAAAGTCTATTTTAAATACAAAACAGTCCTTTTTGGTTTTATCACATATAACAAAGGGTGTTTTCTTGAAGTTTTGAGATAGCCTAAAATGCATTAGAGACAGTTATAATGGCCTCCTGGCAGCTGCCTCTTAATGACTACTGTAACAGGAAGACTATCTAATATGTTGGAATAAAAAACTTATGGAGTTTGTGCCCATTCATAATTGACAACAAGCACTAAATAGACAGAAGCAGTCACCCAATTTTCGGAAAAATCAAAAAAGAAAAAGAAGTTCACAATTTTAAGGAGTAAGCTCCCTTGAAGGATGATACACATTCTCATTTTTGGCTATAGATATAAACCAAAGTTACTGATTTGAATCAATGGTTCAAAATTCTTTATCTTTGATATAGCATCCATGATCACTCTTTAAATAAATGAAAAAAAAAATGTTCTTTGATGTTTAAAAGTCAAACCTTTTGCCTCTGGCATAAATGAAGCAGATCTCCAAAGGGTGATTTTTCAGGCTCTTCAAAAGCTAGAAGGGCCAATGTTCTCTCTAGTTCAGATAGAATTTCTGGATTTTCCTCGCCTCGCTCAGCTAGATGTGTCTGGGCATACTCTAATGCTCCCTCTACATTCCCTTGACGTATTAACTCTATCAAATGTTGTTGCTGAAAATGTAACATGATACATATGAGCCGCGCCATGACAAAACCAACATAATGGGTCCGTGCAGTCTGATCAGGATCCATGATATTCGCTATCGGTTTCTCTACTTGTTAAAGAGTTTGTATTAAAGAAATAAAATATTACTGGTCATTTTTGACTGGCACTTGTGTAGAACCACCATCTATCAATAAGTTAGTTAGTTTGTGATGTGATAACAGGGAATGCATAAAAAATCAGCATGAGAGTTTCAAGTCAGGAACCATGCCACAAACACCCTTAAACATAAATAGTTGAAGGAATAATATGCTGATGTATCTAGCAAGTAGGTGATGATTGGATTGATATATATAATAACACAAGAATGTATGTTAACTGTAACATATCATGTAAGAATGAATCTAATAACAAACCTGCACATATTGTTCAAATAGGTTTAAATAGTCCTGTTGACAACAGTTTGACCCTAAATGGCTCAAACGAGATCCATTGCTAGAAAAGGTAATAATTCTTCAATGCAGAAGTCAGTCATTTGGTCACATTTAACCAGGACCGTTTTTTTATAAAAATAGGGTACTTTAATAAAAGTTTGCAAAGCAATGCTAGATGCAAGATATCTAGGCTTAAGGCCATGTTGATTCATACAAGATATTTCAATCATGTTTTCTGATGAAAGTCAATGTAAACCAAGAGGCACCAAGATGAGCTAATTGCAGGATTTGATTACATTTTGTAGTGGACAATAAGATGATGCTACATATCAAATATCTTAGCTCTTGGCATTTAAACTTCCAACAATAAGATCTGATAAGATTCTATAAGTTTTTAAACTAAGTGACATCAACACACCGCCAATGTTGCCCTTGGGGTCATGATTAATACACTTTTAAAGAGGGCAGCAAGGTGTTGCTACATGCCAAATATCTAAGCTTTAGGACTTTAAGATCCTGTGACCTACTTATGCATCAGACACGAAAACAATCATATACAATGGACCTTTCCAGTGTTTACAGTTTTATTTAAATTGGCTAACTTGTTATCCAATTGATACACTGAGATAATGCATAGTCACTGGTTGACCTGGTTTGCTCAAAAGAACATGTGGTTATGTTTGTGATACTGTTTGTGAGCAATTGACCTAGCAATAAATGGAAAAGGTGTGGCTAAATGTTCCGCGAAAACCGGAAAGGTCCATAGGCTACCAATAAATCATTCCTGTGAAGTTTGGTAAAAATATTTGATATGGTTCAAAAGCAAATCTTGCTTAAAATACTGTTGATAACAACAGATTATTGACAACATCCTATCACAAAAGCGTACCTCTGAACACCTTGTTCTCAATTGAGCTAAACACAAATTTATATCACCAAGTATGCAGACCAATCTTTGGTGATACAAGAATGTAAATTTTCATTTTCACACATAATGCCAATGGACATTCAATATCTTAGACTGGTATTCAAAGGAATTTAACTGTAAAGTTGTTAAAAACTGTATAACCAGTCTATGTACTAACCTGTAGATGAAAATAAAGATATCTATCATTGTCTAACAGTTCGGGCTGTAACATATTAACCAGGGATATTGCACTTTCTATTCTACCATTCTGTATTTCCTCACGTATTTTGATCCTGTCGTCTAGCTGATTGAGGTCTACTGATGGCTGTATACCAGACTCTAACCTGAACTTCTCCGCCGACTCTTTAAAACCCTCTGAAAAGTGAAACAAAACAAGACTATATATCAAAGGAAATCTAATTTCTATTGCAAATTCAACATTTTTGATGATAGGTAATGTTTATACATGTATAAAGAACTGTACTTGGCAAAGATCACAATTTTATTTTATATAAAATGCTTCATTTTCAAATTTTTCAATAAATAAATGCAAAACTGAATGTGTATGTATTTTTCACGGCTTTTGTTTTTAACAAAAATACCTTCCACTAACATTTATTTCTTTATTTATCCCATATTTTCCTTTATTTTATAAAAATAACAAGCAAATTTGTTGAATTGATATCCCCTGCTATACAATACAAATCACATACATAAATAACTGGAAGCTTATTTACGTTCCTCTGAATATGAGGGGAGTGGTGGCAGAGTGGTTAAAGCGCCTGCCTCTCAACCAAGGAATCATGGGTTGGACATCAGTAATGGTTGGAACCAGGGAGCAGACTCAAAAGTGATTAATGTAAGTTGAAAGAACTTGTTTCGCAATCAAACTTAAATAAATATAAGTAAATATGAATTTGTGCTCTACACAAAGTCCACAAAATCAAGCACTGTCAAACAAAGTAGCTCTTACAGTAAGACACATCCTTCTGAGATATTCTTATAAAGACCTGACAATTGTGTACTGTCATTTGGTCATCAGTATGTTACTATTTATATCATAAGAATTACAGAGTATTCTAACATAGTGAAGCAAACAAATTATCAAACTCATTGCCAGGGTACCTATTACAAAAAGCCATAACTTTTATGATTTACCACCAGATTTTGATAGTATTTGAAAAGCACCATTTCCTTACAACATGACACATACAAAGTAAAGTTCATCACTTTATAACAATCAAACAAAGTTGAAAAATGTGCTCCCCTAAAAAATTGAAATTTTCTTTAAAATGTCATTTTCAATAAAGAAAGGACCATAATTCCAAAACCAATGGGAGGATTGTGATGGCATTTAATGAAAATTATTTTCCTATTCATATATAAGTTATATAAAAACTGGAACAACAGATGGTAAGATGGAGATGGACAGACAGTGCCATTTCAATATCCCCTTCCACTTTTATTGGCTGGGGATTATATCATGCATGTCATACATGTATAATGTATCCTTATCTATTTTCTAAAACAACAACCTGTGACAAGATAATTCATTATCAGCGTGTTCATATCTGCACGAGTAATTTGATGACCATTAAATCTATTCATCCATTCTTCCTTTGATATTGGACTGTCGGTCACTCTTTCACGACTCAAAGCTGAAAACATAGGAAAAATTTATTAACATTTTATAATAATTATAATATAAACGTAATCAGACATTTCATTTCTCAAATATATTCAAATTGTTACCATAGAAATAAAATTTAAGTGTACATTTGTACATGTAACACACAAAAGATTAATGATATGATGATTATGATTATATCCAGTTCAAAACAGGAAATACCTATATATGACTTGTACTAGTTGAATATATGTCAATATATGTCAATGTGTGCATAACAAAGATCCCAAAGACTTGGTACTCCATCCAGGATTTTTTTTCACAAGTAGGGGAAGAGGTCATTCCCTTAAATTTTGGGAAAATAATGTCACAGGGTGAGAAAAATGTGCAGCCTGACCAGGACTCAAACCCGGGATCCTCGGAATACTGTACTGCAGCTCTACCAACTGAGCTATCTGGCAGCTTACACATCTTCTCCCCTATATAGTGAACAGTTCTGAATCGTGACAATAACATGATATTTTTGCAAAGTTATACGAAAAAACTTGATGAAAACTGAATTTTACAGGAAAACTGCATGATTTAAAAGAACTTTCATACAAGGAAGTAGCTCTTAAGAACAGCCCATGTTATAGAAGAATTAATAGCATTGACTTAAAATATTTAATGAATTATGGCCATCCTTAAACTTAGACTGAAAGAAATGTTAGTTACATGTACACAAAACATTCACCATTATAGACAACATGACATCACAAGCCATTACCGTGACAGGTTGAGAAAAATTTAATTTTAACAATAGATATAGGGAGAAAATGTTTAATCGGCTTGATACAATAGCTAAGTGGATATAGCTGTGAAATTGTATTGCAAAGTTTTGATTCCTTGTTAAGACTTCACTAAAGTTATAAATTTTTCTCATCCTCTGACATTCGAGGTACATCAGGGACATCAGAATGGATGGCATATAGCCCAGAGTGAATGTGAAAAGTTATCTGTACACAGAACAAATTCTTGGTCAGAAACATCCTTCTAGATAAAAGATAGATACTGCCCATGCATAAAAGGTAGCAAGACACTTCGACCCCCCAGACACTTCACCCCTCAAATTTTGAAGACACTTCACCCCTTAAGACACTTCACCCCCCAAAATCAGTCTGGGGGGTGAAGTGTCTGTAAGCCTCATAAAATAACACAAAGTTTATATTTGTTCTATAAATTTGTGTTTTGGTTGACTGACCTATTCAGTAAACTAAACTAAATTAATGAAACAAAAAAGTTTTATCACACAAATTGATCTATGATATATTTAATAAATAAATGTATTTTATTATTTTAAATGTCTTTCCATCATTGTCACAACAATATTATAATAAATAGATTATTAAATCTATCAAGACAATGACATGAAGAAAAGAACACAACGTGGCATACTCAGTATCATCTTTAAGCATATTTATCATTTATTATGAACGTATTTCTTTATACCTCTCTCCATTCTGTTATATCTGTACCGATTTCTGGTTTCTTACAGCGTCAGAATAATAAAAACAACTCTCTCAGAAAAACACATTTGTATCAAAATTGACGAGTAGAACTGTACCATCACACCGACGGAAATGAGTTTTGACATGCGCGTAGCACCTGTTTCCGGCTAATTAACATTGTTTTCTTAATTAATTTGAAGCAATTAAAGTTTAAAAAACACCGCAGATCAAGTCATATGCATGAATTGTGGATATTGCATGGTTCCAACTTACAATAAGTGATATATTCGGCTCTGTTGCGGACCTGACAACAGCGGCAGAATCAAGATGGCGGATTTTGACAGTTTGTGCAAAGTTTAATTTTTTATAAACATGTACACAGACTTGCAGGAGAGTGTGTCATAAGAGACGAAACGACTAGAAAATGGCAGAAAGGTGAGTTAACGAGGGCATATATTGAACCTTTTAAAGGGTAATGGTGATCGTTGAGCGGTTTTGAAGATTTGTAGAACTAGACTAGTGGAGGGTGTCTAAACTCAAATAAATTTGATATCTACAGCCAATTTCTTACATATATAAGATACCCATATATAAATGTAGACTTGGTCAAATAATATGAAAAAGGCAAAGCCTCAAAGCGAGCGCGATTTACTTTTACCGTTTAATAGTATATAATAAAATAATCGTACAGTTTTATTTTACATTTTCCGTTTTAAAATTGTCATTCGGTATTTTATACACTGCTTCCATTTATTCTGGTTCCCTGTCCTATTATGGTTCCCATATAAATGTGCAGGACACCAGTCTAGGCTTCTGTTTTCAATCAGAATACCTCAGTTTTTATTGTTATCTTGTAATTCGAAAAAGTTGCGATGTGTCAATTCGGTACTTCGGACGAAAGTTTTCAAAACCATCACTATCTAGCAGGTACTCACATTACCGTAAATCTTGCTCTTCGAGCTCGCTATTATGTTTATGGCATTTGTTAAGGTAATCAACCAAATTAAAGTTATGATCCGGGAATTCACTGAAATTTATTCTTGTCTATCTATCTATCTTTGGATACTGCCAACCCCTCTTGCGAGTGTTACCTGTTATATGCAGGAATTAAGTGCACATCGAATTGTTAGTAAAAGGTGAAAGTAGAGTAAAATAGTCCAAGCATTATAAACATGCCAGGAAGCTGAAAATGTATTCTAGTGATATTGACTTAATTAAGTTCATAAAGACACTATCCTCACCAACTAAATATATTTTTATTTACAGTACAGCTTTAACAATTTTTCGAAAGTCCACCCATTTCTGCGATTTTGTTATGAGTGGATTGTCACTGGGACATCCCTGTTGCAGCCAGTTATGATTTTCCGCTCATCACCTGATCGGGTGAAATTCGCGCTGGGCGATATTGTCACTGTGGATCACTGTGAAATATTGCAGGGACATTTTGCTTTCTCGGGTTACCATTTATCAATTTATGACATGCATTTACTTGCATCTATAAAAAATAACACACAACATTAAGGTCATTTGTCTCCTATAATTTCTGAATGGCGGATATTTACATGCCTGTTTTAAAAATGTTAAAATATTAAATTGTAAGTTACTGAAATTATCGCTGATTGTTGAAATTATATTGCCTTTTAAATACACAAAAACACTAGCTTTCAAAGAAGCATCCATAAATAAATGTAATATAATGTTTCCATCATTAATAAATATACACACAGAGATAACCTCTGACAAATGATAAGTCAGCTCTTCAAAAGTATTATGTTAGCACATGTGTAGTCCCTGTTGAATCATCAAAGTGCCAACACTCAATTGACTTCTACCCTTTTTTTTATAGATCCGGAAAAAAAAACTGTCATATTTTTTGTTAAGAAACGATTACACATGTTTAATGATTGCACAAAAGGAAAAAAAATTATGTTGAATAATTATCATGCCAATTATTGAAATATTATTTATTGCAAGTGCATTTTGATTGTGATATTTTTTTTACATTTTTTAATGCAAATGGAACTTCAAAACTTCTGATTTTTATACACATACAGATGATGTTAAGGCTGTTATTAAAGCAATAGATAAGTCAGTGTTCAATCTAGAGCGCGCCATTGACCCCCTGAAAAGGCCGCCGGCGCAAAACAAAATCAACTGTGGGCCCGATGGGCGCACTCATAGAAAATGCCCTAAATGACATTAGAATGCTTTCTTAAACCTGATTAAGTACATAAAAGAAGTTTCTTGTGAATAATATTAATAAATACTGAATTCAAAACTGAAGTTTGTATTGAAAAACAAGAGCATGTTGGTAAGATAGTTTACCGCACTCGGTAACCCATTTAAAACCTTTATCGCTACGCTCTCTCGGTCCGTAAATACTATGTAGACCTGTTTGTACCGTAACTATTACTTACTTTTGAGTCACAGTTTTTATAAGCAAAACAAATCGTCACAGATAATCCAATACGTGCGTGTAGTTATAGTTTTTTCACGGTCAAAACAAATAAATATGTAATAACTTTCCAAAGGAAAAAAAATATATATGTATGTGAAAATGCGAGTTAATTATAGAGAAGTGTGCATAAATTAATACGAACACACCTTCATCCAATTGAAAATGTCTTAAAGATGGAGCAATCAAACACGATTGGCTAGGGAGTGTCTGACAATTAAGTAAATTAACTTTGATTGGTCTTTGGCTGGTCGGCGCTAAAACATTGTGCATATCATTAATCAATACAGACATCTTAAGCGTGACGTAAGAACTGCTGCCCTGACAAAAGATCAAAGGTACCGGTATGTCAATATACATTGTCTTAGCACCTGTTGACACTTTTGTTTTTCGCTTGGATATATTGAGAAGAGTAAATGTTTTTAGCGACTATTGTAAGTTTATATTCTTCATAAACAAAGCTAATTTCAAAATATGATTTTCCTTTATATATCGGGCGCTGATTAAAAAACTGAACATTATTGTCAAATATCCCTGGTAACATTAAAATAAGATTCATATTTTTCTTTGAACATTATGTCATCGCGTTTCTTTACCAATCAGTTCTTAAATTTGAGCCTGTATCAACGCTAATGTTATTTTTTTTTAGTTGAGTTGTTTTGGAATTTTGCAACCGTTTTTGGTCTAAATATGGTACGTGAACAAGTAACTTAAAAGATACAATAGCTTATTTGAATTTGATGTTCATTTTAAGTGTGGGCCCCCTTTTTTCTCAAATGACCCCCTTTTGAAAAGTTTATGGGCCCGAAGGGCCCCCTGGGAATTTGTTCAAGATTGAACACTGGATAAGTGATACAAATGTATTTTTTTTTCTAACAAGACTACATTGTATTTGTACATGAACATTTATATGCAATAAAAAGTGTTCATCCTGTTCTATAAGGTTAAAGGTTAGTCTCTACCCTCACATGAAACTTTGCAATATCTTTGTGAGTATACTTTAAGGTCACTGTCAAATACCTGCAGCTATTGCATGAATTTGAACTGAATTATAACTCTTAGAACCTTGAAAATTATAACTGTAACATGGATTTATTAATGAAATCTTCCCCTAAGATTGACATAATTATTTCACATTCTGTTCAAGCAGTGCTAAAAGAACACAAGCTAATTGGCCTTTAGCTATTGGAATGACAGTTTGCATTAAAGGTAATTGTGACATACATGTATATCACCAGTTAAATAATATATATATATTGTAATAATGGGTCATCGTCATAGATAGTTTCCTGACTTGCTTCAAGTCTATTTTCCTGATGCTAGAAAGTATATTTTTTGTTACATAAGTCATTACTAAAGAATATGCTATTGTGTTGTAAATGAATTCGAAAAACAACAATGTCCACAATAAACCCAATGTGTAAAATAATCATGCTTAACACTGTGACAGCAAGGTGTTCGTTATTAATCCAAAAATGAACTACTTCATACAATATCATATATCCATTATCCAATATCATTTCAGCATTAGTAAGTGAGGTACTGTTGATTTGATAGTTAAACCAAGGGTCAGCCCCCTTTTTCTTAACCTTACTGGACTCAAAAAAAAAAAATTACACGAATGTGATCAGATGTGTTTTAAATACTAAACTGTAAAATGCCAATCAAAAGAGAACAAGTTACGATACAAGAAGTTGTCATTAACCCCATGAAGTATATTGGATTAGAACATGTACGATGTTTTGATTGCTCTATGAGAAATGTGTTTAGAAATTCATTAAAAGAATTGATCAGCCACTGCAGTAATGATATTAGTGTCACTGTTTTTTTTCCCAATCTCTTGAGACAGAAACTGTTCAATATTGATCTGACAATATTTGCTGGAATTTTTTTTTTGAAAAACTTAACCTAGTTAAGTTTTTTGTTTTATGGATATTGTAAGGTGCTTATTATAATGTACTCATAAAGCATTGGGGCATCATAAAACATTTTTGTTATAATTTTCTAAAGGTATTCAACTGTAAGGCACTAGATGTTTTTATATAATTTCCCGATGAGCTTTGTTTGTTCCTATTGTTTTTTGTAGTGGGTGGGTGGCAGGGGTAGTGTTGGGGCAGTGAATGGAACTTGGTTTAAACAGTATTTTATTCACAAAATAATACATGGTAGTACATTACAAATTTAGTACTTAATAGCTGTAGTGATAAAAACCCCATTTATTATTGCTATACATACCAAATTCTGCAGTGTTTCTTCAGCAGGACCATTGCTGATATGTTTCGTGATTATTGTTTCACAGGATAAGAAAAACGTGACTTTCTTACTGACCAGAAGATTGTGTTTCTATCCCTGGTAAATCTGGACAGATTATATTAACTTCATCCAGTCTGTCAAAATGGCTCTATGGTTATTGATTATGAGTGAAAATTGGCGTTAAATTGCGGTTTTACTGGAATTTGCAATCATTGCCCTGACTTTGGGGAAATACTGGAGATTTGGGCTCATTAAAGTCTTTGGTGTGATTTATTGTATATAGAATGTCATTTTATAGAACAGCCTGATACAGTTATCAATGTTAGACCTCAGAGAATAATTTGGGTTGACAGTATTGGCATGTCATTAGTTTCAGGATGACCATGAATGAGAGCATATGGAAAGTATAAAAATGTCACCATAATGGCAGCTCATGTTGTGTCTGTTCTTATGTCTGTATGATTTACAGTAACCTCCCTGCAAATCTTAGTAACCACAGTTACCTCCCTGTAATTCTTTGTATGGCTGACTTCTATTACTTTTTACTATAAGTAATTTTCTCTTTTAAAAAAAATGGAAAAAAAGGTGTTACCAACATTTTAAAAGGCTCAAAACATTTTTTACAATTTCAAATCTGAATAATTTCCCCTTTTTTAGCCAA